TTATTATTATTATCATTACTTACGTTGGCAGTTTTTTGCTGTGACAGCATCTCCATAAAAACCTTCAGCGCAGCTTTCACACGTCGCTCCACTGTAACCCTGGCGACACCGCAGACACTGGCCTGTGATTGGATCACAGCTTCCAGGTGTGGATAGATCCAGGTTGTCATTGCAGTCGCAGGGCTGACAGGACCCCCCTGGTACACCGGGCTGGCCGTAGTATCCATTGGAACATCTAGACAGCAGAAAAAAGACTAAATAGCTGATAATCACCCAGACGTTGTGTGTTACACAACAGTTCAGAGATGTTCTAGAGCAGAGGTTCTCAAGCTGGGGTCCCTGGACCCCCAGGGGTCCGCGAGAGGTATCTTGGGGGTCCTCAAAATTTTTTTACTAAAATCTTAATTTGGTTTTATTTTTAAAAATAATGGAGAACAATGAACTAATAAAACAAACAAAATAAACTTAATAAAAATATATATTCCTATAGCATTTAGGGGTTGAAATGACAATAAATTATCTTTTAAAACAGCATGGGGTTTATGAGGGGGTCCCTGGAATTATTTTGCCGTTCTAAGGGGTCCCCAGACCCAAATGGCTTGAGAGAACCTGTTCTAGAGGAGTTTCAAGTTCAAATGCAGCAGAGATCTTATAAACATTCTACATTAATGATTAGGAGATAAATCAAGGCTAATGTAAAGAATACAAACATGGTTGCAAATGTGCAGCTTCATGAACTTTTCTGCTGTCTTCTTTATTTTCTTTATACTTTGTCACACTTGTACAAGAGTGACTACATTTTAAAAAAATAGTGCATCCGTAAATGTTTGAATATCTCAACAAATAATTGCATTCCTGCTTTGTGCTTCCAAGTTGTAGCAATCAGATGTCATCTTATTTTTTTGATGTTATTTTCTTCTTTCTCCTTTGAGAAAGCTGGTAGGGCAATGTCCTTTGAAAATACAACTATGTGCTGCTTTTATGTAGCAAATACCATTTAAAATTACAGTTCTCCTCAGCTTTCAAGTCTGCAACAAAATATACAGCAGCTCACCTCGGTTTTCTTTATGCGCCCAACAGAAGAAAATTACTTGGGTTTCAGAAAAAACAGATACGTACAATCAAAATGATTGTTTACCTCAGCTTCTGGTGCTAATATCACAAACACCCAATGATCAAAACAAAATTATTGTTCTTGTTCAAAACAGAACTGACTGTTTGGATCCAGTTAGCAAAGACAAAATGAAGTTCAGCTGGTCCAGAGACAATAACTGGCAAAAGGCAACAGTTTTATTCCTAATAAAACATGGTCTTGTGTCATAAATGCACAAAGACATTAATTTATTGGTTCATAAATAACTGAACCAAGCACCAGCCCATAATGAGGTTTTGAACAGTCCTATCATCTTGAGTGTGAATAAGATGAAAATCAGTTGGAGGAAGTGGGAACAGGCGGAGCAGCGCTCCCATTCCAGGAGAAGAGGAGGACTGATTTGGTTTTTGAGAAATCTTAGATCCTTTAAACTTCTCATCAGGATATTGCAGATTTTCTTTTTAAGTCGGTGGTGGAGAGCGCAGTTTTCTTCGCTCACGTCTGTTGAAGCAGCATCGAAGCCGGAGACAAAACAGAAGAAAATAAGAATTTCTTTGGAGCTGTGGAAACTGATGAATAACAACCTACTGCACAAGATTCATGTGCATCATCCCAGACCTTCTAAACATTAAACAGATAAATAAACTGATTTAATAACTGTAGTTACACCTTCTTCACGTTAGATTCAATAAAACCAGCATAAATTATTAAACCAACTAAATTAATCTTAATAAATGACTTTTTTGTGCCAGAACCACTTCGGTGCACTGCAAAAACTGCCCATTTTACCAAGTTTTAAAATCTTATATCAGCCAAAATGTCTTTTTTGATCTTGTTTTGAGACTGATTCACTAAACAAGAACTGATTGTGTAAGAATAATCATCTTGTTTTCAGAATGTGTAAGATTATTTGTCTTGTTAGTCTGAAAATTTGACTCAAATTTAGTCAAAAATTTCTACCAGTGGAGTAAGAAAATTTTACTTGGTAAGATTCTTGAAATACTTGATTTGACTCAGTTTTTTCTTATTTCAAGAATCTTACCAAGTAAAATTTTCTTACTCCACTGGCAGAAATTTTTGACTTGATTTGAGTCAAAATTTCAAACAAGACAAATAATCTTACACGTTCTGAAAACAAGATTATTATTCTTACAAATTCAGTTCTTGTTTAGTAAATCAGTCTCAAAATGATCAAAAAGAC